TCCTTTGCAAAACGGGTGGGTTTAACTAGATGGCCTCTGAGATCCGGTCTAGCTCTGAATCTAATATCTTCTGAATTTTATTAAGAAGACTAAAGGGCTTCCCACATGCAGCTTCAAGTCAGAGGGGACAATGAACTTCAGGAAACTTCCTCAAACCAGATGGACATGGAAATGCTGCCTGAACCCATCTGGTCTAATATACATCCCTCGGGAATCTTATTCTTAATATTATTATTATTGTCTAAGGAATCTCATTCTCAAAATGTGTACAAAGGTTACATTTTCTTAAAATTTTTTATGCAGGAGCAGTATTAATATGAACACAATCCCAAGTTAAAGTCTTCTCCATCTAGCCTATATTATACATGTATGTATGAATATATGTATGTATATGTGTATCTATGTATATACTGCATGTCTATATTCAATTTTTTTCAATGTAGAAGCATTATTAATTTGAACACACCCTCATGTTAATCTTCTTTATTTAACCTATGTATACATATAAATATGTGACTATATGTATAATTATTCTCTCTATATATGCATATATAAAACATGTATATTACAGTTTTGGTTTTTGTTTGTTGTTTTATTTTATATTTTTTTAGATAAGGTGAGGACCCAGTCACAAGGGAGTGAAATTGATCAATCTTTTTTAAAGTATAGTATTCATTCTGCTGGAATTACAAATACGACATTGGGAATCTTTGGGAGAAATAAACATGACATGGGGAATGGAATGTGGTTTACCACTAGATAGAAAAGCTGTTTCTACTCTTAACCACCAAGCATTATAGCCAAAAACCGTTTTAGGGGAATAGGGGGAATCCCACATATTTCAGGAGCAAATGAATAATGTCTTCTACAGTCTTAAAACAGTTATGCAAAGACCTTCCCTCTGAATAAGTCAATGTTTTTCCTTCCTACCAGTAAAAATTGCTTGGATTTTGTGAACAAGGGAGAAGGATGTTTCTTGTCAGAAGTGTAGGTCTACATAGCTGTCAAAGTAACATATTTCTGAAGCACAGTAATAAATGTACAGCACTATGAACCTTAAGGTACTTTATAAATCCTAGCTATCATAGCAGCTCTTTTTGTGGTGGCAAAGAATTGGAAATTGAGAGGATGCCCATCAATTGGGGAATGGCTGAGCAAGTTGTGGTATATGAAAGTGATGGAATACTATTGTGCTATAAGAAATGATGAACAGGCTGACTTCAGAAAAAGCTGGAAAGACTTGTATGGTCTAATGCTGAGTGAAGTGAGCAGAACCAAGAGAGCGTTGTACACCATGACAGCCACGTTGTGTGATGACAAATATTGGTAAACTTAACCCTTCCCGGCAATACAAGGATCTAAAACATCTCCAGAGGCCCTGTGATAGAAAATGCTATCCACATCCAAAGAAAGAACTATGGAAGTTGAATTGCTATTTTTTTTTCTCTTCTGTTGAGTTTTGTTTCCTCTTTCTGATGGTTCCTCCTATTGGTTTTAATTTTTACTTACAACATCAATAATGTGAAAATATGTTTAATATGAATGCAAATGTCTAGCCTATATCAGATTGTGTGCCGTCTTGGGGAGGGTGGTGGGGAGGAAGAGGGAGAAAAATTTTAACCTCAAAAGCATATGGAACTGATTATTGATAAATCAAAATAAATTAATAAAAAAACAAAATAAAATCCTAGCTATAATTACTATTAGTAAGTTCATAAGATTGATAACTAGAAGGGATCTCAGAGATCATGTAGTACCAGCTACTCATTTTAGAGATGAAGAAACTGAAGTCCAGAGGTTAGAGGATTTGTCCAAGGTCACAGAAACATTGAATTGCAGGACTGGGAACTTATCTAAGGTCTTCTGATTCCAAAGACTGCAGGTGCACCTGGTCAAGCCTTGAGCAGCAGTTCTTGACTGAGTAATGCAACAATTTCAAAAACATACAACCTTTAAATAAAATCAAGTTTTAAATGTCTTATAACCCCTCCCACTTGAGAATAGGATTCATGACACAGAAGGTGTTTTCTATGCTGTCATAGGAAAGCCACATCCATGTACAATTGAAATAATTTATTTACCACTAGAGCACCACAAAAACAGTCATACAATGTGATCATATACAGAGTAATCGGTCACCAAAATACAAAACAGCTGTTCTTATGTTCCATTAAAAAAAATATGCCAACCATACAATTGTATTGCTGCTTAACACACAGAAAATGCTGCCCTAACCACCCATGGTGCTGACATTTCCCCTGTTCCCTTCCCTCTACCCTATGTTCATATTTGCTAAAGGGGAATAAATGTCTAACAGAAGCCCCAAATGAAAAGATTCTGGAGATTTAAAATAGAGCATTTAAAATATTATCAGTGCATCCGTGAGGAAAGAAAACAAAACAAAACAAAACAAAACAAAACAAAACTTCATCCTATCTGGAGAGAAAATACCTACAGAAATAAACGCATACTACATAGAATTAAAAGGAAAATGGAAAGGGAAAAAAAATAGTCAAATCTGGCATTGGGCTGCATTCAGCACACATCAAGTATAGGTTTATCATCATGACATCCTATTCCTGTGCATTACTATTTTTCAAACTTCTCAAGCAATTTCTTCATTTTAAACCTAAAGATAAGGAAGCTGATAAGAGGAAACAAAAATTAACACTTCCCTTTTGACGTCTGCCGCTTTCATAATATTACCTCCCACATTTTATTTCAGTGTTCCTTTATCAATGCATTGCCACTGACCAATGCGTGGGACACATACAGATGCAGCTACGGGTGTCTTGCTCAAAGGGCCTAGTCACCTATGTTAATGTGAGCCAATGCAGGCCAAGCCTAAGAAAGAGATGACTCTCACTCCATAGGGCTCCATTTGTAAATAAAGAAGAATCTAGCTTCTCTTGGAGTATAAAAGAACATCTAGAACACCCATTCACTTTGGCAAAATAAACCAAACTAGCTATTTCTATGCTGATCTAGGTTTTATTTTTCTCTTAAAAAAAATTAAAAAGAAAGGAAAAATATTTGAAATTTGTTTTCCCCTGAAAACTCAAAATCCAATTAAAACCAAAGATATTTCCTAGGAGCTGTTTACCCTTTATGCAAACAATACAAAAAGTGGAATAAGTGAAAATATTGATTTAACCAAGTTAGAGACATCTATTTACTCAGCCATCAACTTCAGTCAGATCCTTAAGGAAAACATTTCACTCTGACCATATCTATATGTCTAAAACCCTCTGTATAATCTTTTAAAAGACTGTAGGGTGGGCTTTTTAAAATCTGAACCGCTTAGTAATTTGCGGCTGTAACCATGGAGACAGAAAGTTCTATGATTCCACTCAACGTTGGGAACTGCTCATACAGGAAATCTCTCCATCAATGTAGACAGTAACCCATCTATGACTCGGTAGATAAGTTCTAGGAAGTTGCCTCAGGCACATAGAAGTTCAAGGACTTGCCTAGGGCCATATTGCTAAAATGTATTGAGGCTGGACTTGAACCCAGGTCTTTCTGATTCCAGGGCCAGAAGTCTATCCACTAGGCCATGTTGTCTCAATATCCATGGATAAAGAAGGAAAAACAAATGAACTTGAATCTATTTCTTTTTTTTTTTTTGTAAAAGAAAAAAAGACAAGTGGAGTCAGGTAGCTTATGTCATAATGCTGAACAATATACAAAGCACATGTATAGCAAATATCATATAAACATGTATTTGTAGTGCAAGTAAAAAATATAGGGACTCTACTCATACTGGCCAGCTAGAGGGAAACACATTATTCTGGGTGATCCAAAAAAAAAGAGCCCCAAATTTAAATTCAAACTTATCATAGTTGACAGTATTACAAAATACAAAAATATGGTGAAAATTTACACATTACACGTAAAGTACTTTATGATTTTTTTAATAGTTTACAATAGAGATCTACAGATATGTTTCCAATTAAGCTGGCTTTACTACCCACCTATTGTAATACTATAGGTATGGTTATAGATACCAAAAAGAAGGAAAAAATCCCATAGCATAGCTATACAGCAACACATTAAGTAAGGTCTGACGACTAGACCAATATATGTCAAAACATTTCATTAGTTTTACTAAACTGACATTTGAACCACTTATTGTAAAAAAAAAAAATCTTACAGACTTATCTTTCAGGCTAAAAGATTTCCTTTATTAATGAGCTTTTTTCATTATCTTAAACCTTACAAGAAGCTTCTTTAGGCATCTGGCATATGAAATACGTGTTTGGGTTTTTTTTTTTTTCATTTTTTGTCTCAAGTCAGACTTTCTTAGTCATGTAATCACTAACTTTCAGTCTTCACTCCACTATGTGGCCTTTTTTTTTTTTTCCATTTTCCCCCTGGCTGGTCAAGAGTTCAAGTTCCCTAAGCCTTCCATCTTCAGGTTTCTGGCCATTGATTTGGTCTCCTCTTCATCTACCAGCTCTTGCTTTCTGAGGGCCATGAAATGTTCATTGTATAGTTACACACAAATAAATAATGCACTGTTACTCTACAGCTAAAAGAAATGGGAAAGGGACCTATTGCATAGCAATACAGAGAAATCAAGTGAGGAATGGGACAGGACAGGTACATACAACAACTCCACTTAATGGGATTTTCCTGTTTTTTTCCTTTCACATAGTTAACACTAAACAAATTTTTCCAGTGTTTATTTTTTCTTTAAAAAAAAAAAAAAGGTCTTGCTTCTTGTCTATCTCACTATCAGAGAAGGTAAAATGTAGGATAAGGCCTTCAACTTTTTTTTTTTTGCTTCGGATGCCAGTTTTAAAAAACAAAGAACCAAACTTCCAAAGTATTCATACTAGTACCGCTTTTTCTTTTCTTTTCTTTTCTTTTCTTTTCTTTTCTTTTCTTTTCTTTT